GCTGGAGTGCAGTGGTATGATCTTAGCTCACTGTAGCCTCTATCTCCTGGGGCTCAGATGATCCTCCCACCTCAGTCCCTCAGCCTCCACAGGTAGCTGGGCCTATAGGTGTGCATCACCACAACTGGCTTTTTTTTTTTTGTAGTTTTTGTAGAGATGGGGTTTTGCTGTGTATTTTAGCCTGGGCTTACCAGGCTAGTCTTGAACTCCTGGTCTCAAGCGATCAGCCCACCTCAGCTTCCCAAGGTATTAGAACAATCAGCCTCTTCACTCTCACTCCTCTCTCTCTCTCTCTCTTTTTTTTTTTTAGCTAGGGCTCAATCTGCTCAGGCTGGAGTAGTGGTGCAATCATGACTCACTGTAACTGCGCACTCCTGGTCTCAAGTAAAGCTGCCTTGGACTCCTGAGTAGTTGGGACTACAGCCTTGTACCATTGTGCCTGGCTAATTTATTATTATTTTTCTTTTTGGTACAGACATGGTCTTGCTATGCTTCCCAGGCTGGTCCCCAACTCCTGGTCTCAATCCTTCTTCCAACCTCAGTGTCCCAAAGTGCTGAGATTACAAGTATGAGCCACCACATCCAGCCATAAAAATATACAATTTTACAAATAGATCTCTGAGAGAAATGTGCACTTTTTGATGCTTAAAAGCAAAGGTCAGCTAATTTATTCTGTAAATGGCCAAAGAGTAAATGTTTTAGTGTTTGCAAGCCAAGAGGCAGACTCAAGATACTATGTAGGTACTTACATAACAAGGGAAAACAAATTTCCACAACATTCTTATTGGCAAAATTCAAAGTATAATAATACATTAGGTACAATTTAGTACTATTTTTTTAAAGATGGGTTCTTGCTCTGTCACCCAGGCTGGAGTGCAGTGGTGCAGTCTCTGCTCACTGCAACCTCCACCTCCCAGGTTCAAGGTATTCTCCTGACTCAGACTCCCAAGTAGCTGGGATTATAGGTGTGCGCCACCATGCCTGGCTAACTTTTTTTTGTATTTTTAGTAGAGACAGGGTTTCACCATGTTGGCCAGACTGGTCTTGAACTCCTGACCCCAGGTGATCCATCCGCCTCGGCCTCCCAAAGTGCTGGGATCACAGGTATTATGAGCTATTGCACCTGGCCAGTACAATTTTTTTTTTAAAGGCGGGGTTTCACCGTATTGGTCAGGCTCGTCTTGAACTCCCGACCTCAGGTGATCCGCCCACCTTGGCCTCCAAAGTGCTTGGATTACAGGCGTGAGACACCACACCCAGCCTGGCCAGTACAATTTTTATTATGGGTCTACTAATGAGACAACAGAATTATTTTTTGGTAAATAACATGTTACTTAATTGGGGTTTAATGTTAGTGTTTCCTCTCCAAACTGATTGCAAACTTTCATCTGTTAATAAACTGATCTGTAATGAGATTTTACAGATTTTACATTCTTTGAAAATGTCTTTTCATGTAGGTGGGCACTGTCAAATACTAATATTAATCCACAAGCATATGATTTCAATTGAGCTTGGAAGGCATTTATATAATTAGAATCTTCTCTTGATATTTGCCTTTTAATATGTCATTACATTGCAGATTAATCAGTTCTAAATGAAGGTTAGAGAGAAGCTCTTCAATTGCAAAGTTAAATGAAGTTTGAAATATGGAACTGTTCTTTTTATTCGAACTAATGTCTGACGAACTGCTGGAACTGTAGTTTGATAGTTTGAACTCAGAAAATATATCTGCTGCAATTTCTGTAGAAATAGAGATCTTGCTTTTGTTTTACCTTTTGTCAGCACAGGAAGTATATTAATCAGCTCAATATCACTTGTGAGTCAAACAAGGGTTGGTTGTTGAAATGACTTCATCACAGTATAAGTGTTAACATATAAGCACCGTTTTGCCTCATAATTTTAGATTGAATTAATTAAGAAACAGCATCAAGCAGCCAATTTCATTTCTGAACAGATCATGAATTACCACGGTCTAACCCAGCAACCACTTTTTTTTTTTTGAGACGGAGTCTTGCTCTGTCCCCCAGGCTGGAGTGCAGTGGTGCGATCTTGGCCCACTGCAACCTCTGCCTCCCGGGTTCAAGTGAATCTCCTGCCTCAGCCTCTGGAATAGCTGGGATCACAGGCGTGCACCACCACGCCCAGCTTTTTTTTTTTTTTTTTTTTTTTGTATTTTTAGTAGAGATGGGATTTCACCAGGTTGGCCAGGCTGGTCTCGAATTCTTAACCTCAGGTAATCCAACCAGCTACTCAGTAGGCTGAGGTAGGAGAATCACTGTAACCTGGGGTGTGAAGGCTGCAGTGAGCTGAGATGGTGCCGCTGCATCCAGCCTGGGCAACAGAGCAAAATTCTGTCTCAAAAAACCCGTCTATCAGCAGAGAGATTTTAGTGAGTTAGTATCAAGGGGTCATCACTTCTTTTTCTCTTTGAGTAGCTGACACAGGACAGGAAGACTAAAGGCTCTTTCTGATATCTGAAGATCCCTTTCAGGCTTCCAAGAGTTCTGGGATTACAGGCATGAGCCACTGTGTCCGGCCAACAACCACTTTTAAAACAAATCCTTAACCATGAACACACATTTTTAAGACATGCTTTTACAAATGCTGGTGAGAATGCAGAGAAAAGGGAACTGTTGGGTAAGCTAATACAGCTGCTATGGAGAATAAATGGAGGTTCCTCAGAAAACTACAAGTAGAACTACTCACATGATCTAGAAATCCCATTACTTAAAATATATCCAAAGGAAAGGAAATCAATTATATCAAAGAGAAATCTGCACCCTCATGTTTATGGCTGCACTATTCAGAATAGCTGATATGGAATTGACCTATGTGTCCAACAATAGATCAATGAATAAGGAAAATGTGGTATAGGTATACAATGAAATACTACTCAGCCATAAAAGAGAATGAAATCCTGTCATTCACAGCAACTTGGATGGAACTGGAGGATATTAAGTGAAATAAGCCAGGCACAGAAAGATAAACACCACACATTCGCAGTCACACGTGGAACCTAGAAAAAGCTGATCTCATAGAAGTAAAAGGTAGAACAGAGGGTGCTAGAGGCTGGGAAGGGGAGGAAAAGGTAGGGATAAGGAGGAATTTGTTAAAGGATTCAAGATTATAGCCAGATGGAAGAACTAAGCACTAGGGTTTCACACTACTGTAGGGTGACTATAGTTAACAATAATAGACCAGGCATGGTGGCTCACATCTGTAATCCCAGCAGTTTGGGAGGCCGAGGGAGGCAGATTGCTTGAGCTCAGAAGTTCAAGACCAGCCTGGGCAACATGGTGAAAATGCCTCTCTAGTAAAATACAAAATATTAGCCAGGCATGGTAGTGTGTGTTTGTAATCCCAGCTATTTGGGAGGCCAAGGCAGGAAAATCACTTGAACCTGGGAGGTGGAGGTTGCAGTGAGCCGAGATCATGCCATTGCACTCCAGCCTAGGTGACAGAGCAAACTCCATCACACATACACAATAATAATAGTAATAATATATAGTTTCAAATAGCTAGAGGGAGGATTGAACCTTCCCAACACAAAGAAATGATAAATGTTTGAGATGATGGATATGCTAATTACCCTGATCTGAAATAATTATACATCATATGTATGAAACATGACTGTGCACCCTATGAATATGTAGTTATTATTTGTCAATTAAAACAATACAACTTAAAAACACCTGGTCTTAAACATTATTGTTTTTGCACACTCTGAAGCATATATTTTGCATCTTGACAACATAAGTGAAAAGGTAACAGAGACTTTCATTATTACTGCTCCAAATGCATGCTCAATAACCTGTGATCTATTTTTCATAATTCAAGTTTATAAAAAGTAACTTTGGAATTTCAGTTATTGTCAGCCACCAGACAGTTTTTCCTGCTCCACAATTAAATAAGGCAGTATTTTTGGAAGTAGTTGTTTGGGAGCTCCCTACACCTTGCCACTGGATAAGAGGACCTGAAATCCAGCTGGGTGTGGTGGCTTATGCCTGTAATCCCAGCACTTTGGGAGGCTGAGGCACACAGATCACCTGAGGTCAGGAGTTCGAGACCAGCTTGGCCAACATGGTGAAAACCCCATCTCTACTAAAAATACAAAAATTAGCTAGTCATGGTGGCATATACCTGCAGTCCCAGCTACTCAGTAGGCTGAGGCAGGAGAATCACTGGAACCTGGGGTGGGGAGGCAACAGTGAGCTGAGATGGTGCCACTGCCTCCAGCCTGGGCAACAGAGCAAAATTGCCTCAAAAAATACGTCTTTCAGCAGAGAGATTTTAGTGAGTTAGTATCAATGGGTCATCACTTCTTTTTCTCCTTGAGTAGTTGGCACAGGACAGGAAGACTAAGGGCTCTTTCTGATATCTGAAGATCCCTTTCAGGAAACCCATTCTGTTGGTGTTTCTTAAGATTTGACAAAGTTTGTCCAGCTTCCACACTGTATAAAGTTCTCCTTGATACACCCATGTATCAGCAGAGCTGCCCTGTAGGTAGGATTCTTACTCCCACGTGGCCAGTGAGTAGCAAGCAAGGCCCCAAGTAAGGTCTTTGGGTGCTGTCTCTTTCATGAGAGTCATTTTGATAGGAGAAAGGGGTTGGGGAAAGACGCCCGAGTCTGGGCGTGGGCTGGGAGGGAAGCACATTCAGGGTGCTGAAACCACATCTTATTTTCTGTGTCGTTTTGCTCAGGGCCAGCCTGAAGTGAGAATGGCTTTTCTCTTGGTCAATTCCTAGTTTCGCTACCATCATCCTTACATCCGAATCCTAGTAAGTCTATTCTCCACTGAACTGAGCTGAGTGCCGCTGACTGCAGACACGGCAGTGCCCCATTTGCCACCCAGGGAGGCCGAGCAGCGGCATGTGTGTGGCCACGGCCCCTCTACTCTCCCAGCAAATTCATGCGGGCCTGGGCGCGGACGGAGAGCGGGTGTGCGGAGGCCGCTGCCCCTGCACACTGGGCCACCGGGGTTTGGGCGGGGAGGAGCTTGTACCGGCTGGGCAGGGAGGAGGAGGAGCCCGGACGGCGGGAGCGGCTGTGGCGCGCAGGCACCATCGGAGCCGCGTGCTGAGGGTCCTAGGGCCCCACCGCGCTCAGACAGACGTTCAGATGCTCGGACAGAGATGGTCTATACCCCAGGAAAGGGGAGCGGGTCCACTCCCGCAGACAGCCCCAGCGATGAACCGGTCGCCTCCACCCCACCGGGAAAAAGGCAGTGGCGGTCAGGCCGCGCTGTTTCTTTAAGACCGTGTTCCTACTAACACTGACGGTAAGTAACCCGGTCCTGGGTCTCAGGAGAGAGATCCCGAGGTGGGATGGGCCCTTGCCTCCTATGGATAGGCGAGTGAGAGTAAAAATCTCTCGGCGTGGAATTTGGGGAAGTTATGAATGGGGGGAGGGGCGGGATCCGATTTGAGCCAAAGTCCCCAGGTACCTTGTACATTTTAACAGGGCTCCTGGAGAGGGCGGGGGAGACTAAGCAAGGCCAAGCTCCAAAGGGAGGAGAGTCCCAGCTGGCTTCAGCGTCCACAAGGCACAGTCCTTCATGAATCTTGGTAAGTGTGGTAGCTTGTGAATTAGGGTGAATGGCAGAAGCCAGGGCTTCAGGGATGGTGGGAGAGGTAGTGGAACTGACCACTGCCGGCTGTCAGGTAGGCCTTGGGCACCCGGCTCTGCCGACAGTTTTCTGGAGTAAGAAGTGGAGATAGCCAGCCCACACACGGGGTATCCAGCAGCCCCTTAGGAGCTCAGAGGGCGCTGGAGCAAGCAGCTGGCAGCACTGTGCCTCCCTGGCGCTCACTGGGTAGAAGGGGAGAGGCTGAGTGATGAGGCTCACTTCATTTTGGGTGAGCAGAATGAAGACTGTGAAGTCACAGAGGAAGTGGAATGCTACAGCTGGCTGCTGGGGCAGAGGAAAGGTGTCACTCAGGCAGGCTCAGGGCTTTCTGGCTGTGAAAGGGAGCCTCTGGGATCAGCAGGGCATGTCTGGTGCCTATGGTAGACTGATTAGTCGGGTGAGGCCACCCTACCACAAGGGTCCCCCTCCCCATCCTACACAGGAATTAAAACAGTCCCATGTCCACTTTATGGAAGTCTAAATACCACCCACACCATGTGGAAGGAAAGCAGGAGAGAGACTGAGTGGCACATCCTGCCACCCTCCTTTCTCCCAAACCTCTTCCCAGGCTGACCACCCTTGCTATGTCCAAGCCCAGCTTTGTGGGCTTTCTGTTCCTCCTGAGTAGCTGATGTTCAGAATGTGGGGTACCAGGGCTCTGGCAAATATGTGCTGGAGAGCAGATGAGTCTGGAAGATGACCACTGACTCCTACCCTCCTACTTCTCCAGATGCAGAGGCCTCCATGGCTGTGATAAGCCTGTTGTTCTTGGCAGTGATGTATGTTGTTCACCACCCCCTGATGGTCAGTGACCGGATGGACCTGGACACACTAGCCAGGAGTCGACAGCTGGAGAAGCGAATGAGTGAGGAGATGCGTCTGCTAGAGATGGAATTTGAAGAGAGAAAGCGAGCGGCTGAGCAGAAGCAGAAGGCAGAGAACTTCTGGAGAGGAGACACATCCAGTGACCAGTTAGTGCTGGGGAAGAAAGACATGGGGTGGCCGTTCCAGGCTGATGGCCAGGAGGGGCCTCTGGGCTGGATTCTGGGAAACCTGTGGAACACTGGCCTCTTTTGCCTTTTTCTCATCTTTGAGCTCCTGCGACAGAACATGCAGCATGAGCCGGCTTTTGATTCCAGCAGTGAGGAGGAGGAGGAGGAAGTCCATGTTGTACCTGTCACCTCTTACAACTGGCTTACTGACTTCCCCTCCCAGGAGGCCCTGGACTCCTTTTACAAACACTATGTTCAAAATGCCATCCGTGACCTGCCCTCCACCTGTGAGTTTGTGGAGAGTTTTGTGGACGATCTCATTGAGGCCTGTCGGGTGCTCAGCCGCCAAGAGGCTCACCCACAGTTGGAAGACTGCTTGGGCATCGGGGCTGCCTTTGAGAAATGGGGAACCCTCCATGAGACCCAGAAATTTGATATCCTGGTGCCCATTGTCCCACCACAGGGCACCATGTTTGTCCTGGAGATGAGGGATCCAGCCCTGGGCCGCCGCTGTGGCTGTGTGCTGGTGGAGTCAGAATGCATGTGTAAGCGTGAGAAACTCCTAGGAGACGTGCTGTGCCTGGTGCACCACCACAGGGACCCCTCAGCGGTCTTGGGCAAGTGCAGTAGCTCCATTAAGGCAGCTCTCTGCACCGGCTTCCACCTAGACGTGTGCAAGACTGTGCAGTGGTTCCGGAACATAATGAGCAACGCCTGGGCCCTTGTGGCCCACAAGTATGACTTTAAACTCAGTCTCCCACCATCTACCACCTCCTGCAAGCTCAGGCTGGATTATCGCTCAGGCCGCTTTCTCTCAATCCACTTGGTCCTGGGGGTGCAACGAGAAGACACCTTGGTCTACTTGGTGAGTCACGCTCCTGATCAAGAGCAGCTCACCAGTGTGGACTGGCCTGAGTCCTTTGTGGCCTGTGAGCACTTGTTCCTGAAGCTGGTGGGGCGCTTTGCCCCTGAGAACACCTGTCACCTCAAGTGCCTCCAGATCATTTTAAGTCTCCGACAGCATCAGAGCTTACCCCACGGAGCATCCCGCCCCATCCTCACCTCTTACCACTTTAAAACAGCCCTCATGCACCTCTTGGTACGGCTGCCCCTCACGGACTGGGCGCACAACATGCTCTCTCAGCGGCTCCAGGACATTCTCTGGTTCTTGGGCCGTGGCCTCCGGCAAAGGTCCCTCCATCATTTCCTCATTGGTAACACTTTGCTGCCCCTGACCATCCCGATCCCTAAGACATTTAGGAATGCTGAGCCTGTCAATCTCTTCCAACACCTGGTGCTCAACCCCAAGGCGCATTCACAGGCAGTGGAAGAGTTCCAAAACCTTCTGACCCAGGTGAAAACTCTGCCTTATGCCCCACTGGCTGCAGCACCTTGATGTAAAGGCCATTTATAAAAAACAGATGAAGGTATTTCTAATTCCTTGGACTACAAAAGCATTTATTTTTCAGATATATCAGTGGTATATGTGACTTTCACCTTGCTAGTGGGGGCTGTGATAGCTAAGACACTTTAAGGAGTGTGTGAGGTGGTCATGAGGATGAGCCTAATGACCCTGCTGGGCTTAATCAAGGGTGGGTCATCTGAGGTTGCTTAACTTTGATCATGACCCAAAGAAGGTCCAGGGAAATGAATGTTACGGGAGGATCTCCCTGCTAAGGAGTTGAGATCCAGAGGAGGATTGTGAAGTTGTGTTTTTTTAATCAACACTGGAATCGAGAGAACCAGAGAATACCTCCATTCCGGCTTATTCCTTTTTGTGATTAACTCCCAATATGTTCCTTGTGAATTGGTTTCCTTGTTGAACTGTTAGTTTAATTCCTATACAAGCTGGTGGCACTCCATTTTATCCTAAAAACTGTGATGGGCAACTTCTCATATTTTAGGATCTAATTTTTCGAAACGTCACTATTTTGAAGATATATCCAAGGCTGGGCGCGGTGGCTCATGCCTGTAATCCCAGCACTTTGGGGGGCCAAGGTGGGTGGATCGCTTGAGCTCAGGAGTTTGAGACCACCCTGGGCAACATGGTGAAACTCGTCTCTGCTAAGATATAAAAACTTAGCTGGGCATGGTGGTGCGTGCCTGTAGTCCCATCTACTCAGGAGGCTGAGGCACAAGAATCACCAGGAGGAAGAGGTTGCAGTGAGACGAGATCATGCCACTGCACTTCAGTTTGGGCTACAGAGTGAGACTCCATCTCAAAAAAAAAAAAAAAAAAAAAAAAAAAAAAAAAAAAAAAAAAAAAAAAAAAAAAAAAAAAAAAGAGAAAAAAGAAAATATAACCAAGATGTTTACATTCCATTTTCTTAATTTAATCCTATTTTTATATGACAATAGAGATGTTTTTATGCATCTGAAAAAGCTACCTAATTTATTAGCATTGATTCACAAATACTGTCAACAGTAACCTGTCTCATAATTGAGATAATGTATTTACCATAATCAATGAAATAGCTAACATCTGATGACCTTTTTAATGCCTGGCGGCGACATTATAAAAGCCTTCACAAGGCCAATCTTTTTGGGGGCTCTGAGATGAACAGTTACTTTGTTTCTTGGGGGAGCCACTTGTTAAATGTAAAGGTATAGCTGCCATGTTTAGCTGTGCTTTTTCTCAGTCTGGTCATGCCTCCTTTGTATTTTATTTTTTCAAAAATGACAAAGGTATTACTTGAACTGTGTTTGTGGTTTTGAAAGAGAGGTCATCACAATCCAGGTTCATAGTCAGGTTTGTATAGGAAAGGATTGGGAAGCAGTCCACCTCTAAAATCGTGATTTTAGAGATATGATTGGTATATTTTTCCCTTGTTTCAAAACCATGGGATGCTGAGGAGGAGTGTTAAGAAATGCAACTATGGTTATGGGTATGGTTGTTTTGGAAATGCCAATGCCGTTCTATCTGCACTGCCAAGAAGATCTGCTGGGGAAAGTAACCTGTCCCCACTGAATTTGACCTCAGTGGGGATCAGATGCTGGCTGTTATGGGCTTCAGTCATAGAATACATACCTTCCCCTCCAGCAAAAAATAAGTTTAAAAATGTCCCAAGGCCGGGAACAGTGGCTCACACCTGTAATGTCAGCACTTTGGGAGGCTGAGGTGGGCAGATCACCTGAGCCCAGGAGTTCAAGACCAGCCTGGGCAACATGTCACAACCCTGACTCTACAAAAAAATAGCTGGGCGTGGTGGCATACACCTGTGGTCCCTGCTACTCTGGAGGTTGAGGCAGAAAGCCTGACCTCCTGCTTGAGCCCAGGAGGTCAAGGCTGCAGTGAGCTGATAGTGCTGCTGTACTACAGCAAGCCTGGGAAAAACAGTGAGACTCTGTCTCAAAAAAAAAAAAAGTCTCCCAGAAGCTGATGCCAGTCAGTATTCTGGGCTCCCAGTACACAATAGCTACTGCGTTCCCATGTTGACTGTGTCTGTCAGGTACTGCTTTCAAGGCAAGATGCAATGATGTTTGGTTCTCTGCTGGTGGGATTTTGGTGTTTTAGAAACATCCATATACTTTTCGTTTAGAAAATTATTTGCTGATGTTTTAAGTTACAAGTCAATAAAGGAGACTATTTTCTGTATACATTGGAATCTATGCAGTAACACAGTCAGGAGATCAGCATTCTCACATGCCTGTTCCCAAGAAGTTCATGTTACCCTAATAGCTCCATTCAGTACATCCTGGTATTTCTCAGTGTACTTTGAACCAGTCTGCCTTGTGGTTTCCCAGTGGCATGGCCAATAGCCAGAAAAGAACAAGGAACATCTAAGTGATTAATTTTCATGGTGCCCAAACCAAAATATCAGCCAAATTAGAAGATCTTAGTGGTTACAAACAACGTGCATAAACTTGGAAAGTCTGCTCAGGTAGAAAGAAGGTGGTATGATTTCTGGGAGTTGGTTGTCTCTAGTCTAATAGATTAAAAAAGAAAACAAAGACCAGGTGTGGGTACAGTAGCTCACGCAAGTAATCCCAGCGCTTTGGGAGGCCGAGGTAGGCTGATCACTTGAGGTCAAGAGTTTGAAACCACCTGGCCAAAATGGTGGAACCTCATCTCTACTAAAAATTTAAAGGAATTTGCCAGACATTGTAGCGGGCGCCTGTAATCCCAGCTACTCAGGAGGCTCAGGCAGGAGAATCGCTTGAACCCAGGAGGTGGAGGTTGCAGTGAGCCGAGATCACGCCA